AATTAAAATCATAGGGGGCCAAGCCTGCAACTAGGGTGTGAGCATCCCATATGGGAACTGGAGTCTTGGCTGTTCTTCTTCCAATCTAGCTCTCTGCTATGGCCTGGGAAGGAGGAAGAAAATGGCCAATTGCTTGGGCCCCTGCACCCACATGGGAAACCCAAAAGAAGTTTCTGGCTCCTGGCTTCAGATAGGCTCAGCTGTGGCCACTGCAGGCCATTTGGGGAGTAAACCAGTGGATGGGAGGCCTTTCTCTCAGTCTTGCCTTCTCTCTGTAATTCTGCCTCTCAAATAAATAAATAAATCCTCAAAAAGATTAAAACCAAAGATAATAAATAAAAAATATACTGTGCAGTATCTGGCATAAATTAGGCTATTAGTATAAGCCTTGGAGTTATTTCTAATTCCTCCATCTACATCCACCTGCATCTGATTTCCTGCTAAGCCTTACCAACTCCTTTCTGAAAAATAATTACGGTAATAATGTACTTTTTTTAAAAAAATTTATTTGACAGATAGAGTTAGACAGTGAGAGAGATAGAGAGAAAGGTCTTCCTTCCATTGGTTCACCCTCAAATGGCTGCCACAGCCGGCACTGCGCTGATCCAAAGCCAGGAGCCAGGCGCTTCCTCCCAGTCTCCCATGGGAGTACAGGAGCCCAAGTACCTGGGCCATCCTCCACTGCCTTCCCAGGTCACAGAAGAGAGCTGGACTGGAAGAGGAACAACTGGGACTAGAACCCGGCGCCCATATGGGATGCTGGTGCTGCAGGCAGAAGATTAACCAAGTGAGCCACGGCGCCGGCCCCAGTACTAATGTACTTATAATAATAATATAGTTTATAATAATGTTTACATCTATCCCTTCCTTTCATTCTACTACCTTCACCCTAGTTCTGGCTCACAATAAACTACAGTGCTTAACCTTATGCTCTCCACTGATTATCCTCTAAATCAATATTTGTATCTCATCTAATAGTGCTTCAGCTTCAGTGACCGCAATTGATTTGTCTTTCAGTTCACTGATCCATTCTCATGTCATATGCCTTCTACTGTTAATTCTACCCAATAAATTCTTAATTTGAGGTATTGTATTTTTCAGAGATAGAATGTCCATTACAGAAGATTCCACTT